CATCTTTGAAAGGCTCATATTTTTTCTAGCATAATGAATTTTTGGGATGAACGAATGCTTGGTATTAATTCTGAAAATTTACATATACCATAATCTCGAAAAATGACAGGATGCTTCTAAGAATATTTTGTTTTTAACCATCCACTATATTTACGCACATTGCTACTTGTTTACACACAGTAAACCCTACACACATGATGATTCCAGTTATAATGATATATTGTATATGTAATGTTTTTCTAAACGGTAAACGGTCTTTACACGGTCGTCCTTCGTTTAATGTTTAGGCTGTTTACACGGTGTTTAAACGAAGTTAAACGGTTTTTTACTTCAAAAAATACATATAATTATATATGTGCGTGTAAAAATCAAGTATTCTAGCATTTATACTGATTTATCCGAGTAAAATCAATTATTTTGGTATGCATATATATTTATGCATGTGAAAAGAACCAAATATAGATATTTATGCATGTAACATATAAGTATACATATTTATAAATATAATAAACTTAAGTATATAAATTTTTGCCTATCTAAATAAGTTTGGCATTAATTTTATCCAAAAAAAGGTCTCAGTTAACCATGAAAGTTATAGTTCTCTGTGCACTACTACCATGTAGATAGAGGGAAAACTGGATTTTATAGAAGCATATCAACAATTGGACTATACTGGCATATTAACTGGTCTTGGAAGGACAAATCTAGCCAAGAAATAGTATAATCCTAAAACTAAGTATTTAATACGTTAGCCCAAAAACTAGAAGTTTATGTTCTACCCTAAATATATAGTTATACACTAAATAGTACACTATATATATGTGACTTTCATGTGATAATCAATGAATACTAGAAGTATGATGGGATTCTTTGAAACATTAGAAATAATTATCATAGATGATGCATGAAGCATATTACTACTTGAAGTAATTATAGCATGAAAATGGGAGCAATTCTGAGTAAAGGCATAAGAAAATATCAATAATATATATTTAATAGGCATAGCCTTTCTAAATCTATCTTTAAGTGCATGTATCAAGGCTTGAAGTCCTAGCCGCGTCCCTTCCGGCTGAGTTAACTTTCTCTGCGTTGCACTAATTTCAAGCAAGCTTGTAGCTTTGCATTTTGTTGTTATCTATTACGTTTGGTTGAATACCAACATTTCACATTACACTAGAATGTGCATCACTATGTTGTGCTCCTGTCGAGCTGCAACTATCTCCCCTCCTGCATGAATATTAGCATAGCAGCTATATTTGTAGCTGGTAGCTACCTTGCACTTCCCTCACAATTTGATTAGTTAGCTAGTACGCTATGTATATAGTTTCCGTTGAACTAAGAAATATCTTATTTTCAATGGATCATCTGTATAAGCAATAAATTGGTCTAGGGTCAAGTAGCCTAAGATCAGGGGAAGTTGCTTAAATTAAAATTTACTAAATGGAGAAGTGACCCAATTGATTGGGATGGATTACAGTGAAAATTGAGTTGATAGATAAAACACTTATGATGATTTAGGATTTATAAAGAAAATGTACTTTTGGGAAATTTTGCATTAATGGCAATTATAAAATTCTAGAAGAAAACTTTATGTGAATTTGAATGTTACGTATTTTATACATTTAAAGTATATAGTCCATTTTTTTATGTATGAATAATTGGATCATTTTTTTGGCTAAACAATAAAGAAACTAGACAATGAAATAGTTATCTAAACTATGACATGTGCAAATCAGGAGAAGAACATCCCTGAGTTTATATGAATGATGAACATTTTTAAGTATATTTTATGTATTCTAGCTCGTTGCATTTAATAAATACTAACCCCATGTTTAAATATGTGCGTGAATATTTTTCATAAAACTTCATCATAGCATATATGAATAGACATCCACTTGTAGTTGGAGATACATAAATTTTAATAATTTTTAAGCCCATGATAGGGGATATCTTTTGAAGTATGCTACTAAAGATCTAATATTGGCATTAGGGAGAGATAAAGCCTATTTTGAATGCCAAATATTATTTCCACGGAAAGGAAAATGATTGTAAGAGAAAAATATTCCTTGAAGCTTGAAGCAAGAATAATATCACGCACTAAATCAAATAATAGTTTGACTAATGCTCCTATGAAGCTTGAAGCGGAGCATATGCCAGATATTTCTAAAAATAAGAGGAGTAACTTGAAGTTATAAACCAGACATTATGTTTAATAGTAGTAAACTAAATAATGTATACTATCAAGCTACAATCAACGGGGACGCCTGTGAATTCTAGTTTATTGTATATTTGTTAAACAAAATAAGAAAAACTCCTTCATTCTCATGTAGAGAATACCTCATGAAGAGGTTAAGCACCTCATGAAGTGGATCATCACGAAGATAAAATCCAACACACTAAGCGCGCACATTATTAGTGTTGGGTATGCAGAACAACAAATTATCTCTTGTTTGGGAAATAACAAATAGATAGAATAATCTCACATTGTGAGAATATATTGGACGATAATAATAGTTGTAAACAACGCTACCCCTATAATTGCAAATGTTTCTCTTATGAGAACCCGGATCTAGAAAACAAAGTCCATGACAAAGTCGCATAGCGATTATATCGGGTCAATGAAGAAAGCAATTGAGGTTGAATCTCCTACTATGAAGAAATAAATGTTCTGCTATATGCCTATATCTCTAGCAAATGAAATGAATGAATATAAAATATACAGTTAGTAAGTGGATTATGAAAATCCATATAGTTCCTGAAGAATAGAAATCACAACATATGGAAATTAAATCTCATACTAAATATTAAGAAGTTTAAGGTAGAATATATATTCCTATATGAATATTGAAGTCTTAAGAAGAATATGTCCTAGAATGAATAGAGTCATCGAATGACTTTACAGTGAATAACTCTATCTTATTGTGTATATCTCAGAATAATCTCTCATGCAGTAGAGAATATATCTCGTGAAAGAGAAATATAATTCACCAAAAATAAGAACATCTTTGAAGGAACTAATCCATGAAGGATTTACCAGTGGATTATTGAATAACACCATTGATCCCTGAAATGAATATAGACTCGAGAGAAAGAAAATAAAGAATCTTAAACACCATGAAGGTGTCATATAAAACACTCGAGAAAAGTGCATATCAAAAGCTAGCAAATGAAGTGTTGATATCCTCAAAATACCATAGAAGATATAAGAATAATGGTGATTTTAGCAATTGAATTATCCCCTAAATATCAAATATAAGACCTGAATTTATTATTTAGTGGTATAATTCAAATCTCAAGATTTGAAGAACATATAATTTGAAAATCCACTAAGAAAAGTATTCAAACTCTAGTATAAGTTTGATACACTATCCAGAAGATATTAAATATTGTAACTTATTTACCCTCATAATCCTTTGAAATGATTTATTACCCTGAAGAATAAATTTTATTTATTTTGCACAACTAATAAGTGATTATTTATGTATGAAGTATATTGCTCTTGTTTACTTATATTATAATTCATCGAAGAATGGTAAGCCAACATTTTGGTATTATGGTACTGCATACCATTATTAAGCACACATTTATAAAAAAAAGTGTGGACTGAACAATGAAGTTCAAAGAATGGCTTTATGAGGTGGAGCAATCTGAGTAAATCTAACTTGAAGGTAATTAAAACCACTAGAATTATAAAGATCATGTAGATCATATTTACTAAAACATTGAAGTTTATGCATAGATCATAAAGATAAATATCTATTCATGAAGAATAGAATATTTTAAAGAATACATGACCAAGATAGTTAAATGTTGTACTTTTTTTCCTATGTGAGTTTTTACTTGAAGGTTTCTCACACAAGATTTTTTATGAGACAACATGTGCAATGCAATGAACAAATGCGATGTACTCTTTTTTTCTAAGAACCGTTTTTTCCCATTGAATTTTCGGATGGAGTTTTTAATGAGGCATGTGCATATCGTGGTAATCGTCTAAGAGAGAGTGTTGTAAAACATACGGACTCTATCCTAGAAGGAAAGGAGAAGGAGAAATCATAATCCCAGTCTATTTGTATGTGGGCTCTTACCAAACTCTTAGGCCTTGACAAGATTATATATACATGGGAGCTGTATGTTTTAATTATCAATATTTAGAAGAATAAAGAATATATTATCTGTCTCTTATGTCTATGTGTTCTACTTTTATATACTATATTAATTATAAGAGACGGAGAGAAAAAGATCCGACCCGCTGGCGACGTGTTTTATAACAGTTCAAGACGTCACGAAGTCAGAAGGCACAGCCGGCGCACAGCAATGAAAACAGCGCAGCCCTCACAATCACAACTGGTTCACGCATGTGTGTGTGGGACTAAAAAAATACGAATTCCTTTGAACCTTGAAATTGGGCAAAGGCCCAGAATTTAAAACCATGCTGCGTAGTAATGGGCTATGGCCTAACACTGTAAAAGATGCGCAAAGCACGCACGGCTACGACTGCAGAGTGCAGACTGATTGGTTCGTGCATGGAGTACTCCTACATCGCAGCCGCCGTCACCACTCACTACGGATTACTGTGCGGGCACTTGCACTTGGTTGAAGCTCCACTACCACTTGTAACGCCGGCCGCTCCACTACGCACGGGATTCACAGTGCTCGCGACTCGTACTTGCGCCATGGAGAAAAACTCGAGGCGATCGATCAGTGCGTCCGGCTGTGATCCATTCAGGGAGAAAAACGCACGCGCGCGCGTAGACACATCACTCAGCCAGCCGCCGCCAGCCGCTTACCCGTCATCGAGTCAGTCTACCGCTTGTCCAACAGCACTAACTACATATTGCCACTGACACTGACTCACTCTCAACACTCTAAAACGTCTCTATATAAGCCTTGCGGCAAGAATCAGCTAGAGGAGCTAGGCAGCACTTATCGACAGTACGTACGTAGTTGTGCAGATTGCTGCAGAGATAGACATGGAGCGCAACTCCTCCTGCAGAGACACAATGAGCTGCCTCCTCGCCCTGCTCGCCGTGCTGTGCCTCGGCGCCGCCGCGGTGGCGCGGGCCCAGCTGACGGACGACTTCTACGACGGCTGCTGCCCGCAGGCGGAGGACATCGTGAAGGCGCGCGTGTCCGCCGCGATGAAGGCCGAGCCCCGCATGGGCGCCTCCCTGCTCAGGCTCCACTTCCACGACTGCTTCGTCAACGTACGTACACGAGACACCACATGACACATACTGATACACGCACGCTCCCAATGCAACTTTTATGTACCGATAGATCGCTGAATTGAAAAAGACTTGCTCGCTGCATGCACGCAACGCAGGGGTGCGACGGGTCGATCCTGCTGGACGGGAACAACACCGAGAAGCTGGCGGCGCCGAACCTGAACTCGGCGCGTGGGTTCGAGGTCGTCGACGCCATCAAGGCCGACCTCGAGAAGGCGTGCCCCGGGGTCGTCTCCTGCGCCGACATCCTCGCGATCGCGGCTAAATACGGAGTGCTGCTGGTGTGTCCCTCCCTTCCCCTTCCCTTCCCTTCCTTCCCTTCCCACATGATTTCAGTCATCGATTCATCATCACGTTGAAAAATACTCGCAACCTGCTGGTGTACTACACTACTATTCAGAGTGGAGGGCCGGCCTACGACGTCCTGCTGGGAAGGAGGGATGGCCTGGTGGCAAATCAGTCCGGTGCCAACAGTAGCCTGCCTAGCCCGTTCGATCCCATCAACACCATCACAAAGAAGTTCAGTGATGTGGATCTGAACACAACCGACGTGGTCGTTTTATCAGGTATAGCTGCTAGTCCCACGCATCTTTCACTGCACAATACTTTCCAGCTCGTCAAGAGTAGTGATGACTGGACATCTATTAACTGACCCGACGGCCACTGGGCACGTACGTACGCAGGAGGCCACACGATCGGGCGAGCGCGGTGCGCGCTGTTCAGCAACCGGCTGTCCAACTTCACGGCGACGAGCTCCGTGGACCCGACGCTGAACTCGTCCCTGGCGTCCAGCCTGCAGGCGCTGTGCCGGGGCGGGGACGGCAACCAGACGGCGGCGCTGGACGCCGGCTCCGACGACACGTTCGATAACCACTACTACCAGAACCTGCTGAGCCAGAGGGGCCTCCTGTCCTCCGACCAGGGCCTCTTCTCCAGCGCCGACACCAAGGCGCTCGTGCAGGCCTACAGCGCGAACAGCGAGCGCTTCTTCTGCGACTTCGGCCGGTCCATGGTCAAGATGGGCAACATCCGCCCGCTCACCGGCTCCGCCGGCCAGATCCGCAAGAACTGCCGTGCCGTCAACTGAGCAGGCATCGAGCTGCAGCCCGCGTGCACGTCGTCGTCACTAGCTATGTGTTTGCATCGTCATTGTATTGTGATGGTGTTTCGTTTGGCTTAAGCCAGGGTTGTTCTACTACACTACTTCAGTAGTATTTTTCAGTAAAAGTGTTTTCTTCTAAAAGAACAAATCAGCACAAGCATCGACGTAAACTAAATTTCTGTAAAACGAACAGGGTATACTTATGGTATGGGCTAGCTAGCTAGCGTATCAATTGGGACGGATGAGTGGTATCTACTCGCCTATCTGCAAACGAACAAGATAGGGTCTGTAACTGTCGCTACAGTGCCTGGTGAATTATCGATCAGTAGGTGCATGCGTTCCCCGATCGATGTTGTTGTTCTCGTGAACAAGCAACAGAACAAAATAAATAAAAGCCGACCCTAGTCCTCTCATCCTCTGTGAGAAACTTGAGATCTTGGCACGCATTTCCCTGTCACCTAATCGTATCGTGCTCCCCTTTCTGTTCTGTTATGAGACTGATGTCTCGCCTTCTCTCCATAATTGGCAGCCTGCTAGTCCATCATTGCTTGCACCTATCCTTGACGTATAAAGTGGCCAACATCAGCAGTTTTCGTGCTGTATTACGTACTCTGGTGCAGGAGACCGGATCGCGACTGGGAAACAAGAACTCACTCATCGTTATCCCAGCTGGTTCCTCGGTCAGACGAGCGAATAGAAATTCAGACCGATCCCACAGTGGCAGCTTTCAGTAAATCGGTTTTGCAGATACAGACTATACAGTTTTTTTTTTAAGATAATGACAGACTATACAGTATAGCAACATCACAGACTACAGTGATTTCGTTAGTCTTTTTCAGTTTGTTTTTATTTGGCCGCTTTCACCCCCAATCCGTACTAACTTTCATAGATGGATGTGGATACGAATGCAACCAAACGAGCTCTTGGTGGTTTTACGAGCACGTGATGCGGGGACTTTCGATTTAAAGGAAACAAGGGAACGAGATCGCGAGAGCCAATTAGGGCGTGTTTGATTGGCTGGACCGGGGGAGGGGGCTGAGCTAGGCCCAGCATATGTAGGCGGGCTTGTTTGTTTGCCTGGAGGCGTTTTGGGCCTGGCCCGCGCAGCTGGGAGCCAGGCCCCGGGGGAACGGCTCTCCGCATCGTTTCTCCAGAGCCCGACTCTATTAGGCGCATCGCGACGCTCCCGTCACCGCTCCTTCCCCACGCTGCCCCTCATCTTCCATCGATCCACCCTCACCTCTCCTCCCCCCACCGCAGTCCCTCCCCTCCATGGCCCCACGTCGCCCCTCATCTTCCATCGATCCACCGTCACCTCTTGTCGGGTATCAGGATTAGGAATACCCGGAAGAAGGAAGCTGATGGCCACGAACGCTAACTCCCTCGGATGGTCAAGAGCGAATCTTGGTCTCGCCCGGCCCCGAGGGTACGGGCTCCGTCTCGTCCGACCTCGAGGGCGCGGGATCTGGGTCACCCGACCTCGAGGGCGCAGGCTCCGTCTCGCCCGACCCCTCGGACAAGAGCCCCGTCACGTCCGACCCCGAGGACGCAGGATCCGCTTCGCCCAACCATGAGGGTGCGGGCTACGTCGTGCCCGACCCCGAGGACGCGGGCTCCGTCTCGCCTGACCCCGAGGGCGCGAGCAACGACGCGCCCCAACACCGAGGACACGGGTTCCATTCCGTCAGGTCCCTTGGGTAGAGATTTCGCTTCGCCGAACCCCTCGAAGGGGGACTCCGCCTCGCCCGACGGGTTCCGTACCGCCCCAACCACTACGGGTTTTAGAGTACAGATCCTGTGTCAAACTCCTGACATCGGAAAGGGAGTAGGCGTGTCCTGACATGACCCACGGCCATGACGGGCCATACCTAAGGACACACGTCGCCAACAGCGTCGAGCGTGCCGGCGTTGTGCTACCTAATCCCCGTACGGCCTCCAGCGGGGGTGTCCGTTAACCATGCCGCCCGCCGCATGGGATGGAGCGCCACGACTAGCTGACGACATTGCGTACAACGCCAGTGATGAACAGAGAAAAGACATGGAGCCGTCCCCGTCGTGATCTACAGGGTTGGCGGGACCCGCATGAAAGAAACAAAGGGCACCATGATGCTGGAAGCCTTCTTCCCCTCGCTTATCTCTCTCTCTCTCTCTCATGTAACCTGTATCTTCCCCTTCGTCTATAAAAGAGGAAGTAGGACGCCCCCGGATGGAGACGCTTTCAAGAGATGATAGGAGATAACACCTAAACATCTCAGCATCAACCCCATTCAATTTTTCCACAAGATACTTGGCACCCGCTCCCTCTCTCGCCTGTTTATAACCCATACTGCAAATCAGTGCTGGTAACACGAGCAGCAGCGAACTGGACATAGGGACATTCTGTCCGAACCAGTATAAATCCTTGTGTCATTCGAGCACAGCCATCCGGGTCAGACACGCAAATCACAAAATTTACTAGTCGGTGATCCAAAACACCGACAATTGGTGCGCTAGGTAGGGGCCTTTTGCACGTCTCGTCGTCCACAACAGGCCACGGATGGCTAGCCACGGCGTTAGCTGGGTCCCGGGCGCGCACGTGCGCTTCGAGAGCTTGGATTTCTTCGTCACCGCGGAGGAAGAGCTGGCGCGGGCTCCCGCCCCCGTCCAACTTCTTCGCTCTACCAGCCTTGACGCAACCGTCGAGGCCCTCAAGGAGCTGCGGCTGCACGCCCTGGAGGCCCATACCCTCGGGAGCGACCAGCTCCTCGACTTCGATTACGGGAGGCTAGAGCGCCAACTCGACGCCTTCCTAGGACCCCGACCGTCCCGAGAGGACTTGCGCTGCCTCGCCTTCTCGTTCGCCAACGTCATGGCACAGCTTGCCGGAGGAGAACCACTCTCCCCGGAATACCTCACCCGGGACGCCTCGACAGCGTTCCATTTTGGTCTGCGCAACACCGCAGGGACCATTGGTCACCTCGTGGCACAACGCGTGCACCCGTCTCCCATGTATAATGAATTCATGGGTATGACAGACTACATCGCGGAATCTTTCCATGACCTTCTCGTGGGAGACTCAGAGTCGATCTCTGACTCTGACTCCAGTAGGAGAAGCCATCACCCCTCACGAGAATGCCTCATGGCAGGCACCCCTGAGGGGCGCGTCAAAAACATCCACGAGGGAGGGGCTACCCCTACAAATGACCCCAACGACAATGTCGAAGCGAGAGATGCGGGGCCCGCCCTCGCCTCCCGGGTGGAGCATTGAGGGGTCGGCATAAGGAGATCGAAGACGCACGGCTCCAGCTGGAGCAGGAACGCACCGAGCTTGAGCGGCGTGGAGATGGTGGTCGAGCACAGGCTATCGCCCGCGACGTGAACCAAAGGATCGCTGAGGACGACGGAGGCCTCCTGCATTTTGCCTAGGCAAGCCAGAACATAGCCGTCGTAGCAGCCTTGCTCCGAGGGCTCTCGGAGCCCACAACGCTCAAAGATCGATGGGTTCATCGCAAAATCCGCATGCTGCTCGAGCGGGTGGCGGCGCAACAGGCGAAGAGCTCGTTGTCTCGACGTCGCGAGCTCGACGCCAGTTAGCACATGTCTTCAGGATGGCAAGGCTGGGAAGTATCTGTCCATCAGGAGCCGCGCAACAGTGGGGGCCCGCCACGGTACCAGTACATAAGCGCCTCGGTCCCCATCGCGACGCGCGTAACACCCTAGAAGCCCGTAGGCGCGAACGGGGAGACGAGAGGGAGTAGGTCGATCGTGACTACCATCCTCATCGCAGCGAATGCTACAACAGTGGCGAGGATCGAAGCCTGAGCCCCGACCTACTAGGTCCCCAGGTCTTCGATCGGCACATCCTCAACGCGGCTTTTTTGTCGCGATACCGACCACCGATGAACACCCCGAAGTACTCCGGGGAAACAAACCCCAGCCAGTGGCTTGAGGATTACTGGCTTGCCTGTCAAGCCGGAGGTGTGGATAGTGATTATTTCACCATCCGCAACCTCCCCCTGTTCCTGGCCAACTCGTCACGGACGTGGTTGGAGCATCTTCCGCCCAACTGAATTTAAAGTTGGGCGGACCTGAAGGAGATCTTTGTGAAAAACTTCTAGGGCACCTACACGTGCCTGGGGACCCCTGGGATCTAAAGAATTGTCGGTAGAAGTTCGGGGAAACTCTCCACGAGTACATCCGACGCTTCTCCAAGCAATGCAACGAGTTGCCCAATGTCGTCGACGCCGGCATCATCGTGGCCTTCCTGTCCAGGACCACCTGCGAGTCCCTGGTCCACAAACTAGGACGCAAAGGCCCCTAGACCACCAAGGAGCTCCTCGATATCGTGACCAGCCATGCCTCACGCAAGGAGGCGGTCAGGGCGATTTTTGATCGCTCCAAGGGCAAGGCGAAGCGGGACGAGGGCGTCGATGAAGGCACCTCTAGCCGTCCCAACAAGAAGAAGAACAAGCCGCGGCTCGCTCGTGGCCGCTACTGAGCAAAAAGTTGGTCGGACGCCCACCGAGAGTGCTCCCGACCACTTCAAAAAACTGCTCGACGGGACGTGCCCG